TCACTTAGTTAGAAGTTAATGTTCATAGGCACAGAGGGTTTAAATAGATAATATAGTAGGATTATAGATATAGCAGCTAGTGTAGAACTTAGTAATAAGGAACTACTTTTTAAATAGGCAACCAAAAGTTGCACATGTAGCTAGTTGTACTCTCTAAATATATATACGGTATAGTGTATACTATACTGTAAAAGTTAATAATAACTGAATAAAAAGAAAGCAACCAAAAGGTCATCTTAATATCGAAAAAAAAAAAACTTATTCTTAACTATGAAAGCCAATATTCATATATACTGCTAAAGACAAATATGCTAAAACTATAATAAGAATGAATTCTTAACTATGTGAAATGATTTTTTTAATAACTGGATCTTCTTAAACCAAAATTTAAGATTTTCAAAATAACACAACATTAAAAAACATAATCTTCGACCTTGTGTAATTAAACAATTCTTTGTATATCTTTCTAACAAAAATATAAATTATTTAATATAACTATTTATCTAACTAAATATATTATAACGATATCTCATAGATATAATATCAGACCAGATCTGGTAATTTAAAAAATACTTGAAACAATTAACTATATGGCAGCAAAATGAATAAGTATTATCAGATATTTGATATTGTTTACTTTTTTATATATAAGTAAATAATACTAAATATCTAATTATAATGTGACAGTTCATTAAAATCTTTTAAGTATACTTTGATATAATCAATTTTCTAATAAAGTAATTTTTAATTAATAATATTAGAATGAATTATTTTTATTTAAATCATTAGGATTATATACATATCTACCAAATAAAGATTAACTATTTTTTAATATAATCAATTATTTAATTTATAATATAATAGTAATATTTATATGATTTTATAATTAATATAATTTGATATTGTTTATTACTATTTGATTAATAATTTTAAAAGTATATCTTTCAAGATATTTTCAAGTAAAAAGTATATATATATATATTTTTTTTAATATTAAGGTGATCACTTAAAGGTTTGGAATATTTATTAACTTTGGTTATGAATGCTAGGGCAGCTACAGAGCCAGTCCTAACTTTGTTATATTAATGAAAGTATTACTACTCTAATTAACTTAGCGCTATTGGGATATTCTTCCCAAAGAGAAACTGCTGCTAAAGCTCTTTAGAACTACTTTATCTTCGTAGTAAATCTACTAGAGCGGTCTATGTCTTACATATATATTACTTAGATTTTTCAGTAACTTATGCCTAGGCTAAGACCAAGTACTTGTGAGCCAAAGCCACTATTGCTACTTACTCTTTGCTCTTGCAAAGTTCACCTAAACACCAGTACACACTTTATAAACAATTACTATTGTTTCTAGTCATCAACTGCAGCCCAAACTTCCAATCCAGATGGCCCAGGAGGGACCAGTAGACGTCTTTTGATATTCTGATTGAATCCTTTTCCTCATATACATGCAGCCTGGTTGGTATTAGTATTTGTCAAACACCTGTCCTCATCCAGTTTGCTGCTGATGTTTGATTGTTGATGATGATTCTTTATATAGTACTGTTGAAAGTCTGTATTACTTCTCTCTCAGGACTTGCCAAGTGGGCTTCCATATGCTCTGATCCTCTAGATTTATATAGCGTATTACTCATTTTGTGCAACTTATACATAGCACTACTATTTCACAACCTCCTAATACAAGCTAGTACAATCAAGATTACAGGTACTAATCTGTCAGATTACATATAGTTTACTGTAATGCATTTCTTAAATTCAAATTTCATCACCAATAGGATTCAGACTCTTGACCTGCTATTTGGGGATATGACAACTTACTAACTACACTAAGTTGCTATACCCTAGATATAACATTTTTAATGTAATTGAGGATTAATTAATAATATTAATTTTTATATGATTTAATTTTTATTCTACATATTTAACAATAAAAAATCATCGAAAGCGTATTGTTATCAAATTGGATAATTGTTAAGATTACTTTTAAGTAAAAGGTATTATCAGGTATTCGACATTGTTTCTTTTTTTATATGTAAATAAACAATGCCAAATATCTAATTATCATATAACAGTTTATTGAATATCTTCTAAGCGTACTTTGATATAATCAATTTCTTAATAAAGTAATTTTTAATTAAAGATATTAAAACAAATTATTTTTATTTGAATCATTAGAATTATATATATATCTATCAAGCAAAGGTTAACTATTTTTTAATGTAATTAATCATTTAATTTATGATATATTGGTGATATTTATATGATTTTATAATTAATATAATTTGATATTATTTAGTACTATTTGACTAATAATTTCAAAAGTATATCTTCTAAGATATTTTCAAGTAAAAGGTATATAATTTTTAATATAATCAGAGATTAATTAATTATATTAATTTTTATATAATTTAATTTTTATTCTACATATTTAACAATAAAAATCGTTAAAAGTATATTGTTACCAAATTAAATAATTGTTAAGATCATTATCCAATCTTCCAAGCGAAAGGTATTATCAGGTATTCGATATTGTTTTCTTTTTTATATATAAGTAAACAATGCTAAAAATCTAATTATCATATAATAGTTTATTGAATATCTTTTAAGTATACTTTGATATAGAGTTAATACTTCAATCTGGATATATTTATATCTGGATTGATATTTTGTCAAAAATTATAGTAAAATATAGTAATTTAAATCTGGATTTATTTTATATCTAGATTAATTCGGATATAAAACATAATGAGGTGTTAACTCTACTTTGATATAATCAATTTTCTAATAAAGTAATTTTTAATTAATAATATTAGAACGAATTATTTTTATTTGAATTATTAGAATTATATACATATCTACTAAGCAAAGGTTAACTATTTTTTTTTCTTTCAGCAATCCTGTTTACATTATTATAAAAACAGACTTTTATTTTTACACAGCATAAAAAGTCTAAATCTATAAGTGTTTTAACCAAAATATAAACTTACCTATGGCGTATCTCGCAGATATTATAACATCTACTTGCAGTTAGAGTGAACTATTAAACTGCTGTGTTTTGCTCAGATGCGACCTACCTAGCAACACTTGGCCTCCTCTAGAAATCTGAAACTCATACTAGACTTATTTCTCTCAGATTCCTTGGCTGGCTGTTGCTTGCTTCATCAAGATTCCTGCTCTATAATAGAATGCCACCAAACTAATGATACTTTCTTGTAAGGAAGAAAAAAAGAAAAAAAGAGATAATAGAGAACAAAAAAAAAGGGTATATAATAAAACTAATACATCAAAGAAAATGAATACTAATACTAAGAAATATAAAAAACTAAACTAAAATCTAAAAGAAACTATCACTAAAAAGAAGAAAACCTGCTAACCAGACAAAAACTTCTAATAATACAGAGTTATGATCTACTATTAAGTGCAAAAGTCTTGACAAGAAATTTAAAACTAAAATAAAATGCACTATAACTCATGCTAGAGGCTAAAAATTATATACAGTTGACTAGAGGATGCCTATATATCTCTTATCACTTTGCTTTACTCTTTTAATTAAATCTATATCTTCATTTGAAAGTATAAGAATTTTGGAATCTCTATATGCCCTATCTAATAATCATATGTTTGTATATTCTCAATAATATAACAAGTAAGGTATTCTTTTAAACACTTATCCAGTTATTAAATTTGCTAGCACTGTCCATTTTATATATATTATTTATCATCATGCAGAGTTTTCTGATATAGAAGTAGTAAACATTGCCAATCTTTTGGAGGGGGTATACCGAATTCTTCACTTTTTGTTGAAAATTATAGTCAAAAGTATTGAAGAAAAAAATACTGTATTTGCGAGAGCTCAAGACAATAAAAGTGTTTTCAGTTATTCTTTGTAGAGCTAAAAAGCTTTAGACACTTGAATTAAAAGTTTTTCACTACTACTATTACCAAAATAACCCTTTTGGCTTGGATGCCAAACATGTGAAGAAGTCCACCAAGAAGAAAAGCTTGATCCAAAGCACAAACCAACTATATACATTCTGCTTCTTGGTGTTTCATATATAAGTCTTTGTTGACAACAGTATCAATAAGGAACCACAGATATCTTTAACTTTTTAGAGCTTTGAATCTTCAAACTGTTTTGGTGTGGTCTTGGTTCAAGTGATCATTAGAAAGAGTTAAGGTTAACTATTTTTTAATGTAATTAATCATTTAATTTATGATATAATGACGATGTTATATAATTTTATAATTAATATAATTTGATATTCTTCATTACTATCTGACTAATAATTTTGAAAGCATATTTTCTAAGATATTTTCAAGTAAAAGATATATCATTTTTAATATAATCAGAGATTAATTAATGATATTAATTTTATATAATTTAATTTTTATTCTATATATTTAACAATAAAAAATCATCGAAAGCATATTATTACCAAATTGGATAATTGTTAAGATCTTTATCCAATTTTCTAAGTGAAAAATATTATTTTTTAATGTAATCAATAATTAATTAAAAAATTGCCAAAATGTATAACTACTAAATCCAGTAATTGTTAAAGATATATTATTGTATATTTAATACAATCAGTTATTAATTAATGATATTATAGTGATTTTAATATAATTTTTTTATTGCTTAATAATGAATGAGTAAACTGTTCGACAAAATATCTTCTATGCAAAAGGTAATTAATTTAATGTAATCATTTATTTAATAAAGTAATTTTTTATTTTAATTAATGAATATTAGAATAATAAGCATAAGATTTATATGTAAAATGGTCAATATCTTTTAATTTTTTTGTCAACTTAAAATTTTATCAAAATATGAGTAAAGAAAAGCATTTGCTGAAACTAGAGAGCAGTAAAATAGGTGTTAAAAAGTCTAAAAAAAAGTCATGTAAATATAAAAAAAGAAAATATAAGATTTATAAAAAGTGATAACTTTAATATATCATTAATATAACAATAATCTATTATTAGTGAATATGAAATTCATTGCGAAAGCAGTTGCTCAAACAGTCATAGCCATATTTAGAAAGAGAAAAGGAAGGGAAAGATCATTATTGCCTTCAAGCTCTAGTAACTCAGAAGCTACTAGTAGCAAAAATAAAAGTAAAGTAGAAGATAAATCAGTAAATCAGTTAGTAAGAGAAAAGATAGATCAGAAGTAAAAGTAGTAGTAAGTTAGTTAGTAAAAATACAAATAAAAATACTAGCAGGTTTAGTAGCAGTAGCAGCAGTTCAAGTAAAGATATACTGAAAGTATTGACAGATGAACAGAAGTTTCATTTATAAGTAAATATTATTTGTTTTATATTAGTGTATTCATCTGTTTTTTATATTTATTATTATTATTATTATTATTAATGTTATTATAATTAATTTACTTTTATTATTGTTATTATAATTAATTTACTTTTATTATTAATATTATTATAATTATTATTACCAAAGAATAAAATTAAAGTATTAATAGAATGTGATAAGCTATCTGACCTAAAGCCTGATCTGATTAAATAATGGGTTAGCCAATCATGGAATGTGAGGCAAAAGCTAATTCTAGCTATTACAAAAAAATTATTAGAATATTATCACTATTCTGACGCAATTGAAAAAATTTTAAACCAAAATTATAAAACACAATATTGAATAACAATAATAAATGCTGATTCAAACTTAAAGGCCTATAATCGTGTTAGATTAGGAAAACATAGTAAGGTAAATAAGGTAAGTATAATAAAATTTGGCATGTAAATTATTTTTTAAATCAATTCTAGAGTTACTTTATTAACAAATCATTTACTCGATATATCAGTAAGAGATTACTGATATATTAGGTAAATGATTTGTTATTTAATCTATAAATTATTTATCTAATATATTGGTAATCTCTTACTGATTTATTAGGTAAATGATTTGTAAGTAAAATATAATAATTTAAGAGTAGAAAATTTGTTTACTATTTGTTTATGTATGGTATAAAAATAAACTAATCAAAATTTAGGGTTTGGGCTCTGTAGCTTATTAGTTAAGTACTCAAACTCATACAGACAAGATCAATAGTTTAAGTCAAGCTGGCAGCAAATTGAATTTGCTATTATAATTTTAAGGAGCCAAATCAAATGCAAAGCTCTGTGAAAGTCTACATGCAAATACAAAATTGGATTAGGAATTCCAAGAAGAAGATCCAATTATAGAGTATAGGCACTATATATAGTAGTGGTGTTATAGAAGGTTTAGTTACTAAAGATTGCACAAATAAGTCCTTTGTATACAGGCAACACCAATATCCTTGTACTTCCAGTTTAAGCAGCACCAACATCTTTACACCCAACTTGTGAAGAATTTGCTTAGAAGGGTAATTACCAGATTGCACATATTAGTCCTAAACTGATATTACAATACTAGATTTGATTAGGAGGGTGATATAACAGTAACTAAAACTAGAGTAGTGAGAGAAGTGATAAACATAAAACTGGGTTGTAGTAAAGGATTGGCTTTACCAAATTAGGAAGCACCTCTGGCACCTGCTTAGAAGACTAGAATTAGAAGTTTCTAAAATATAGAGAGATAGTGCTTATTTAGAAAACACATAAAATATTCGAAATGGCCAGAAGATACTGGGCTGATAGTACTTATATATGAATAAGTATAACAGTATTGCAAGAGTACACCAACTTTAGAACATCAACTAAATTGAAATACCTAAGTTGGAAGTAATAAAATATTATGAAATCACATTGGAAATAACTTCGGAAATGAATTACACAACATAGCCTATACTTTACCAACTTATAGGAGTTTCTGTTTAAAAATAAATACATAGCATAAAAGTACAAATAAATGATTATAAAAGCTGTGGAGGCTAGTATCTTGAAGAAAAAAGAAAAGTTTAGAAGAGGTGTTAGTAGATAAAAACAAAAGATATAAGATTTGAGATAGTGAGCCCAGTATCTGAAGGGAATGCTAACCAATATCTACCACTAAATTAGAAAATAACTTGGTTACAAGGCCTTAGTTATAATATCTATTTAGAAGTATATTTGTAGCTATGTGAGTAATATGGAGAATATATATAGAATACTAATAAAGAAGGTCAAAAAGGCAAAAATCTCGGTTAGGTTTAAACAGATAATACCTTACTGAGTAAAGCTTAGGTTATAGATAAAAAAGTCTAAATTTTCTGTATTTAAAGTTGCTTAGTTGTATTACATTATAATGTATTTATAATTAGTAAAACTAATAAAGTTACAAAGAATAAGACCTTGCTTTCAAAACCAAAAAAAAAAAAAAAAAAACTAATTAAAATTTAATGATTTGCAAAATTAACTAATTATAATTATATATTTAGTTGTATATGCATATTTATTTGCACATTGTATGAAAAAAACATGTAAACAAATACTCTACCCTTAAATTACTATATTATAGAAGAAGAAAAAGAGTCAAAAAGCATTAATGTATTTAATAAAGTTAGAAAATAAAAGTATTAGAAAATATTTATGAGAAGACTTAGAGATCTTAATAAGAAGCAAAGAAGTGAATACTTATCATTTTGATGAAGAGTAGAAGACAGATGAGGATAAATTGAAGAACAGTGAGAAGGTTAAAGAAGTTAGTTTGTATTAACAAATAGTGGTGAAGCCCTAATATAAATAAATATTTTACTGGTGCTGAAAAAATAATGTTGATTAATTTTTAAAATATTATTTATACATATGTTTTTAATTTTTTACTATATAAAAAATCATATTATGAGATAAAATTAGCCAGCATTATTTATAAGCTAGTTAATTTAATCTAATATTAATAGACTATTATCTTATTTATTTAGTTAAAATAGCTATTCTATAAACGTATTAATTCTATTTGTAGAACAACTACAGCTAAAGAACAATAAAATGCATAAATAACATTATAAAAAGTATGTTGTTAAGAATGAAATGCTACTACCTGATTGGCCAAATTAGCATTATTAGAAAAAGCTTTAAACCTATTTAATATTTCAGATTCAGAATTTGATGCAGACTTTTCCAATAGAGATAAAGATCCATATAAGAAAAAAAAGCGGAAAAAAATGATAGTATAAGTGCAAAAAAAAGTAGTAAGGGAAGTAAAAGGAAAAAAAGAGACAACAATGATAGGAAAGAAAGAGATGATGATGATAAAATTGTATTATACAAAAGAAGAAAGCGGGATAGTAATACTTCATCACTTCTTAATATTACTGATCTTGCTACTACATAGTTTAATTTTACTACAATAACAATATCATCATCACGAACTACAACAATACTAACTACAACAGCAACAACAACAGAAGCAGCAACAACAACAGCAGCAGCAACACTAGCAGCAACACTAACAGCAACAATAATAGTAGTAGCAACAACAACAGCAGTAGTAATAACAATAGCAGCAACAATAATATAAACTAAAATAGCAGCAACATCATCAAAAACAGAAGCAAAATTATCTTTAAAAAATACAAAAAGCCTTTCTATGAATGTTACAACAATATCTGATAAAAAGGCTGATATACTAAGTAAAAGTGTTGGCAGTGATGATGATAGTAAGGGAAGCAATAGTAAGAGTAAAGGTGGAGATAAGGATAAGAGTAAGCGTGCAGATAAAAAAAGCAGACAGGGTAAAAAAATGAAGAGAAGAGAAAGGAATGCTAAAAGTAAAAAACTAAGAAAAGATCATAAAAGCAATAATAAATATTAATTATAAATTATCATTTAATTTTTATTTTTTAAAATAGAATTTATTTAAAATAATTAAATTTAATAGATATAAAATTGATATATATAATATAAATATTATCTAATAAATATTAAACAGCAATATATCATAATAAATTTTTATATTATCAAAAAGCTGATAATTGTAAATTAATTAGAAAAACAATATTATCAGCTATATATCTTCTAAAAAAAAAAAATAACTAATTATTAAGTAATTAGTAAATAATCTAAAATTATAAAAAATCATTTAAAATATACTTAAAAATAGTAAGTAATCATAAGCTTATCATCCAAGTAATCATAACTCTATTATTTAAGTAATTATAAGTCTATTAGCCTAAAATTAAAACTGATTATCTAATTATTAATATGACATTCAAATATATATTTAATAAATTATTATATTAGCAAAATATTATTTAAAAAATTTTACAAATAACCATTACTATATCAATCAATGATTAAAATGATCTTTATTATATCAGCTTTAATTGTTTTTAATAATGATTAATAAATCTAAAATATCATATAACATACTTTTATACTATTGTAATATTAACAAATTTTTATTAACATTTTTCTTATATATTTTCTTATATTTTATTATATATTTTATATATTTATTATATATTTTATTATTTTATTAGATTATTTACATAGTTTATAGTATATTTTATCTATTTTAGATGTTTTTACAATAGTTTATTACATATTTT